TTGGGCTTATCAGATATTATAGGCGCTTCATTAAGGGGTATGGGCTTATGGCCGCCCCTCTAACGCGTCTATTAAAGAATGATTCCTTCAGTTGGACTAATAAAGCCCAACGGGCTTTTGAAGACTTGAAGACAGCAGTTTCTAGCCCTCCAGTACTCATTCTTCCAGACTTCTCTCAACCCTTTGAAATAGAATGTGATGCGTCAGGTATAGTAGGAGTAGGGGCCGTCTTGATGCAGAAGGGGCAGCCCATTGCTTATTTCAGCAAGGCTCTCTCAGCATCTCACCAAAGTCAGTCCACTTATGTCAAAGAAATGATGGTTGTGGTAATGGCAGTGCAAAAGTGGCGTGCATACCTATTGGGACGCTAATTTGTTATTAGGACAGACGAAGTACATAGCAGAACAAAGGGTGCACACCCCGGAGCAACAAAAGTGGCTTAGTAAACTGATGGGCTTTGACTACCTCATAGAATATAAGTTGGGGCCCGCAAACAGAGTAGTTGATGCCTTGTCACGAGTAGAAGAGTTAGCCCATCTGACCTGCTCTCAACCCAGCTTCCCTTTGTTTGAAGCTATATGGCAAGAAGCCAGGACTGATCCGTAGTTGCAGGTCATTAGAGATAAGTGGAGGCGAGACCCTTCACAAGTTGYTGGTTACCAAGTTGTGGGGCCTGATCTTTTCTTTAGGGGTCAGTTTGTTGTTGCCCAGAATTCGGCCCACAAAGCTGAACTGCTAAGGTTGTTTCATGACTCCGCCTTGGGAGGGCACTCAGGGGTGCTACGGAACCTAAAGAGGTTCAGCAGCCACTATCATTGGGTAGGAATGCGTAAGGATGTATTGCACTGTGTATCCGAATGCTAAACCTGCCAACAACAGAAATACTTGTCACAGTCTCCCGCTGGCCTTCTACAACCCCTCAAGATTCCAGATCAAGTGTGGGAAGACCTTTCCATGGACTTCATCACGGGTCTTCCTTGTTCTGCAGGAAAGGAGGTTATCATGGTAGTGGTTGACCGTCTCACCAAGTACAGCCATTTCTCTGCATTACCTCACCCTTACACCGCAGCAATGGTGGCTGACATCTTCATCCAGGATGCCGCCAAGATGCATGGAACCCCAAGATCCATTGTCTCAAATCGGGACCCTGCTTTCCTGAGTTCATTCTGGAAGGAATATTTTCGATTGCAAGGAACCCAACTGCACCCTCCACGAGTTATCACCCGCAGACTGATGGGCAGACTGAAGTTCTTAATCGTTGCTTGGAAGCCTACCTTAGATGTTTCATAGGGGAAAAGCCTCGACAGTGGGCTCACTGGCTTCTATAGGCAGAATACTGGTACAACTCGACTTATCAATCGGCTGCTGAAATGACACCCTTCAAAGCTCTATATGGCAAAGAACCTCCTCCCATATTACCTTATGAATATGGGCCACCCAAGGTGGCAGAAGTAGTGACCCGTCTACTTGCGAGAGACGAGATTCTTAGATTGCTTAAGTCCAACTTGACAAAAGCCCAACAGCGAATGAAGGCCCGCTATGACACTCACCACCGCCCATTAGAATTTCAGGTGGGTGA